CGCGCCGTGTCTCCATCACGCTCCCTGTAGACACGGGCGATGCGCCTGCCGAGGCGGAGTAGCCGCCGGGCGCGTCGCTGCCAGGCGCGGCGCTGCCGACCTGCGCCATGCTGCTGCTCCTGTGTCTGCTGCTGCTGCTGCCTCTGCTGGCCTTGTGGGCGAGGGCCAGGCCCTGCGCCAAGCTGGCTAGCTGCAGGAAGAGCACTGGGGGGAGTGGGGAGGGACTGGCACGCCCTGTGGGTGCCGAGTGACGGATGCCTGCAACTCTGCTGGGCCGGGGCAGCAACCAGGGACACGAATACAGCCTCCTGGGCTTGGGGTTTGGCTCGAACCTTGGATGTGCAGAGCAGCTTCTTTCCACATGAGAGGCATGGGGGATGCCTCTCCGTCTTTGCTCTGTTGTGCGTCTGATGACTCTGTGGGGCTGTGTATGTTCCACATAGCAATGAGTGTCGTCAATGGGAACGTCTACACCATCTCCCTAGTCACACAACACCATGTCCCTAGCGGCGCAAGCGGCTCCGCGGCCTCTGACGCCGCCAGGCGCTGTGCCATGCCGTCTGCTGTCTCGCCGCCCGGGCTGTCTGCTGTCCCCGGAACACTGGCTGCCGCTCTCCCTGCGCCATACCCGCTGCCGCCCTGCGGCGGCCATGTGGCTGCTACCCGCCCAGCGAGCGGCGCACAGCCACCACGATCCAACCCCTAATCTCTGCCGCCGGCATAGTCCTGCCGGCTGTCGACCCAGTGCCTGCTCTGCGGCTGGCAGCCCCAGCGGCGTGCCGCCCTCCGGTGCCGTCGGCCCCACTGCCCCTGTCGCCCGCTGCCCCTCGTTGCCCCAGCCCTGCTCCTCGGCCGCGGCGCTCAACAGGACGGCAGCTGCCGCTGGCCCGCCTCGTCAGCTCCGCTGCGGTCTGCTGATCCCCTGTGCCCTGGCGGAGGGGCCACCCCAACCGCAAAACATCCATGAGGAGCGGCAGCTGCGGAAACGGGGGCCTGGGGGGGCGTCGCACGTGCTGGTATGGCACGGGGCGAAGCTGCTGCCTGCGGAGAAAGCGACTGGAGAAGGAGGCCTGCCAGCCAGGCTATGGGCTGGGCAGCCTGCTGATCAGGATGCGTCAGACAGCCACGTGCTGTCTGACACCTCTGCCCCCTCCGCACGGGTGCAGCAGCCTGCTGTGCTGCGCCTCGCCCCAGCAGACCCAGCACAAGCCTGACATGCGTC